CTTACTAACTGGGTGCCTTTGGTTAAGTTTCTGTGCACTCTCCCCATGAGAATCCAACTCCTGATGATCTGAGGTGGAGCCAAGATAGCGATGCCCCTCCCAACCCCCAGACCCCCATCCCACCGTGTCTGTAGAAAAACTGTCTTCCATGAAACTGGTCTCCCTGGTGTCAGAAAGTTTGGAGACTGCTGCTGTACAGCATATTACTGTCCTGAATCCTGTAGGTAATTGTAGCACCTAAGTATTGACAGTGATAAGTATTTGTGTATCTAAACATAGAAAAGGCACAGTAAAAATACTGTATAAAAGATAAACAATGGTACACCTGTGTACCTGTATAGGGCATGTACCATGGGTGGAGCTGGCAGGCCTGGAAGTTGCTCTGGGTGAGTCAGTGAGGAGTGGTGAGTGAATGTGAAGGCCTAGGACTTTATACTACTGTGGACTTTATAAACACTGTACACTTAGGCTACACCAAATTTATTAAAATATTTTTCTTTCTTCAGTAGTAAATCGGTCGACCTTAGCTTGCTGTAACTCTTTTACTTTATAAACTTTTTAATTTTTTTTAGCTTTTTGACTCTTTTCTAATAACACTTAGCTTAAAACACACACACATTGTACAATTGCACAAAAATATTTTCTTTATATCCTTATTCTATAAGTTTTTTTCTATATTTAAAATTTTTTATTTTTACTTTTTAAACTTTTGTTAAAAGCTAAGACACAGACACATTAGCCTAGGCCTGCACAGGGTCAGGGTCATCAGTATCACTGTCTGCCACCTCCACATCTCGTCCCACTGGAAGGTCTTCAGGGACAGTAACACATACGGAGCTGTCATCTCCCATGACAACAATGCCTTCTTCTGGACACCTCCTAAAGGACCTGCCTGAGGCTGTTTTACAGTTAACTTTTTTTCTTAACAGGTAGAAGAAGATTCTTAAAAATAATTATCAATAGTACAGTAAATACATAAACCAGCAATGTAGTCATTTATTATCATTATCAGGCATTACGTACTGTATATAATTGTGGGTGCCAGGCTTTTATATGACTGGCAGTGGAGCGGGTTTGTTTACACCGGCACCACCACAAACATGTTGGTAACGTGTTGCCCTGCGACGTTATGGTGGCTACAACATCACTAGGTGATAGGAACTTTTCAGCTGCGTTATAATCCTATGGGAACATCATTGTATATGTGGTCTCTTGTTGACCAAAATGTCATTAAGTTGTGCATGGCTACACTTTTATTCTTTTAAAAATCGTAGCGCTTCTCAGAGGCTCTCTTGCCTTTCATTGCTTTTCATTCCTGTTTCCTCTGAAGAGACCAATGACCCTCTGAGTAGAGGCTTCATGTCTTAATCTGCATCCCTGTTCCCCACAGCTTCTGTGCAGTCCCTTACACACAGTGGGCACTGATATTGTTTGTCGTATTTGCTCCAAAGCCATGACCCATAAGAAAACATTTCCAGCGGGGTCTTTTATACCAACCTTTTATCGCTGTGATAATTAAGTGAGCAATTCGCTTTTGTTAAGAGCTCTCCATAGATGTGTCTTTTGAGAACTGCTTTGGAATATTTTAATTTTTGTTAGGTCTAATATTACTCTCTTTGGAGCCTCCTAGGTAAATCAGAGCTTCTCAAGGAAGCATCAGTTTGATAATAACATAAATATACTGTCTGGATTTAGCTACTGTTAGTACTAATTTATTTCTGCTCCTCTAAGACAAGTTTTGTGTTTTCATTAATAATCAGCTATTTCTCAGAGACTCTCAGAGTGGGGAACTTGTGAGATGTTTTGAATCTGAAAGACTCTGAGCCTCCTTTGTGGGGATGCATCTGGCCAGCACGGTTCTGGTATTAGGGAAGTGAGACTGCCGGGTAGCTCACTTATCTGTACGTTGGGACATACAGAGAGATAGCCTAGTAGGAGAGAAAAAAATCTCACAGGGAAAAGAAATAATAAAATCAAGCTGGTTTATGGTTTGTCAGTCCAAGATGCTTTTAAGCCGCGTCTATAAAGGTACATCCACTTAATGTTTGTTCTGCATTTCAGGCATCATTGTGTGATAAGTGGTGTAAATTTAGCCTCTTTAAGCCTGATCTCCTGTGGGTTGAGATTTAAGTGTTGGAACTTTATTTGAAAGGACTCTATCGATTGGACTTTGATTTGATCCTTCCATACCAAAGAGAGGAACTAAATAATGACTTGGACTCCCTGTTAGTTTTTATTTATTTATTTTTACTCACTTTATAGGCCTCTCTCCCTCCCCCATTCTCTATCTTCTGTTTCTAACTGTTCTGCCTAAAAAGGCTAAAGTGATATGAGAGAGGGGGGAAAAAGATAAAGAAAATTCAGCTGTCACCTTGTGAACATAATTGATTCAATAAATAACGTCTTTCAACCCCTAAGGCAAACCTCAGAGTCTTCGCTTATGTCAATTAGTGTTCAACTCGGTAAGTGGTGCTGGCCTTAATCTAGATGGATGGGAGAGTTCACAGGTTCTCGCTTCCTAGGGAAGGAGTGTGCTTTTCTTGTTTTAAAGTCATACCATCTTTATGGACCTACTCTGCAAAAAGAAGCTTGAAAGGGAATTAATGTGGCGGTTTTTATTCTTCCTTAAAATAGGAGGATGATTTAATTATTTCCTAGAAGTTTGTTGAAACTAAAAGTTGAAACATGGGAATGAAAATTCCCTGGAATCTACCAGACTGTAAGCTCCATGAGGGCAGGGACTTTTTCTTGTTTGTTCATCACTTAGACTCCAGTGCACATAGTAGGTGCATGATAAATATTTAACTGGATCTACTGTTGAATGAGTAGAACAGACACGAACATAATCCAGGTCTTACATTAATTCAGTTAAATTTCATTCCACTGGTTGTTTCTTCTCTTGCACCTGCCTCTTTTTTCCCCAGTTCTTTAAAAGGAGAGCTATAAGGGTACAGTATATCTTCAGAAATGATTAAGGAGAACCTATTTTATCAATTGCTAGACTGTCAGAGTTGCAGGTGGTGTAAAGCTGCTATATACAAATTCTAGTAAGTGAACTAGTCATGCTTCACAATCATATGAGATATGTTATAAATACAAAGATTCTAGGTCTCAGCCCTGGAGTTTCTGATCGATTCAGTGGTAGGGCTTGGAGTAGTATAGAAAGCGCTGATCCAGTCTCCTTGCAGTCCCCTGACCTCTGTAGTCTAAGTTACTTTTTGGTAAAAGTGAGCAGCCTGAGGCACCCAGCAGAATGATTGGTGGAGCTGTGACTAGAACCCAAGTCTCCTGCCTCTGATAACGGTGCTCCTGATCCTACAGAGGTTTAGCCAGTACTCTCTGCTACTTAGCTTTCTTTCAAGACAGGGACAGTATTTGGTAGGCGAAAGGAGTGCTTTGGTCCTGGGGGGATCTCAGTGGGGAACCACAGCACCCCCTACCCAAGGTAATGCACCTGGCCCTAGCAGTAAAGCTAGCACATCTCTAAGTGTTCAATGAATATTAAGTATTGTCATTATCATTCCAGCTCTGACAAGGCTACTTAGTAGCTGGGCCACTTTTAAGAAGTTACTTAACTTCTCTTGGGCTGTTTTCTTGTGGTTAAAATGGAGATCCTACAAACAGATGAAAAAATACTCAGCCTCTCTAATCATCAGGGAAATGCAAATGAAAACCACAATGAGATATCACTTAACTCCAGTGAGAATGGCTTTTATCAAAAGGTCCCAAAATGATAAATGTTGGCATGGATGCGGAGAGATAGGAACACTCATACACTGCTGGTGGGACTACAAACTAGTACAATCTCTATGGAAAATAATATGGAGATACCTCAAAGAGCTAAAAGTAGAACTACCATTTGATCCAGCAATCTTATTACTGGGCATCTACCCAAAAGAAAAAAAGACATTCTATAAAAAAGACATCTGCACTAGAATGTTTATAGAAGTACAGTTCACAATTGCAAAGATATGGAAACAACCCAAGTGCCCATCAATACGTAAGTGGATTAATAAAATTGGTATATGTATACCATGGAGTACTATTCAGCCATAGGAAACAACGGTGATCTAGCACCTGTTATATTATCCTGGATAGAGCTGGAGCCCATTCTACTAAGTGAAGTATCACAAGAATGGAAAAACAAGCACCATGTGTACTCACCATCAAATTGGTATTAATTCATTAACACTTAAGTGCACATATAGTAGTAACATTCATCAGGTGTTGGGCAGGTGGGAAGGGGAGGGGGGAAGGGTATATTCACACCTAATGGGTGCAGTGCACACCATCTGGGGGATGGACACACTTCAAACTCTGACTCAGGTGGGACAAAGGCAATATATGTAACCTAAACGTTTGTACTCCTGTAATATGCTGAAATAAAAAAATTTAGAAAAAAATGGAGATCCTAAACTCTGCTCTGCCTACCTTCTTTTTTTTTTTTTTTTTTGAGACAGAGTCTCACTCTGTTGCCCGGGCTAGAGTGCCGTGGTGTCAGCCTAGCTCACAGCAACCTCAGACTCCTGGGCTCAAGCTATCCTACTGCCTCAGCCTCCCAAGTAGCTGGGACTACAGGCATGCGCCACCATGCCCGGCTAATTTTTATATATATATATATATATTTTTTTTTTTTTAGTTGTCCAGATCATTTCTTTCTATTTTTTAGTAGAGATGGGGTCTCACTCTTGCTCAGGCTGGTCTTGAACTCCTGACCTTGAGTGATCCACCCGCCTTGGCCTCCCAGAGTGCTAGGATTACAGGCGTGAGCCACCGCACCCGGCCTCTGCCTACCTTCTTGAGCACATGTGGAGATTATGTATGTGAAATTGCTGAGTAGAAAATTATAAAAATGTAAGGTATGACTGACTACACACCTACTTTTCTGAAATGAATATATGGCCATGACCTGGATTCCTTGAAGGCAAAAGGTTTTGATAAATGTAAAAGTGCTTGTCTGTGAAATATGGCATTTTGATTTTTCTTTCTTCCTGTTATAGGGAATTAGAATCATGGAGATGCTGCTAAAGGAACAGTGTGGTTCCCCCTTAACTGAATAAAGAACCATCAGTGAGTACCAAATGCGAAGTCAGAATTATTTACGCAAGCCGTGTTTTCCTGCTTATAAGCTTGGCGTTCTGCATTAGCCTCCCTGGGCTATTCATGCCGTACATTTCCGAGTTACAGGCACAGAATGCCATTTCACAGGTGTTTTATCTCTTCAGTACCTTTATTTACTTGGTTCTTTGATTTTCAGAGCAGTTTTGTATTATGTGCTGGGTTACAACTGCATTCAAATTGTTAAAACTGTTCAGAACAATCTGTCATGATTGGGGCCCTTGAGGTGGCGTAGATTTGTAAAGACTGCAGCTCAGATTAACTGAAGCTTAATGTGATTGTTCTGAGAACAATCAAAAGAGGGATTTAAAGCTGTAATTGGAGCAGGAAGGAAAACAAAAAAGGGACATGTTGATTGGCCAGTGAAACAAATATATCTTATTAGTCACATCTACGTCCACTGATTGGGGGTGACTGCCTAAAATGCTATCGAAGATTCTGAGGCCTTGAGAATAATTCTCAGGCTCTGGGTAGGAGTGCCTTGATTGATTAGCAATGTCTGTCTTGGGCACAGGATGGAAACAAGACGGCAATTGTGCCGAAGTACGTGCCACCTCTAGTTCAGGGCAAATGGTGTAAGGTTAACATGTAGCAGGGGACTTCAGAACTTACCCCCTCCCCTCCAATTTCTATTGTTTACATTAAAGAGAATGGTCTTTATAGCAGGAAGGGCAGGAGAAAGTTATTTAAGAGAGAATCAAAGCCAAAAATAAATATGATGGTTTTACATCTTACAATATTTATAGGACTTAGGGTTTTTAACATCTGAGAGAGGACCCGAGTCCTATAGATATTATAAAGCAAACATTCCTTGGATAATTTAGAATTACCTCAGATTTTCTCATGTAAGCTTAAAAGTATACTACACGTGGTTTTGTGTAAGCACCCTGGTATTCTAATTGTGATGTGCAATAAAGTTTGAGTGCAATTAACCAAAGAAGCAGCAAAAGGAACATTCACATGTAAGTACCTTAGCATTCCAAGCATGCTGGCCACCCCTGTGAATGAACATCAGCTGAAGCGTTTCTGCTTGTTTGCAGGTTGGACTCCATTCTGATTAATAATAAGCCTCTGTATACCTAACACATATTAATAGATTTCATTATTGCTGGAAAGGCTAAACAAGACAGTTTCATTTAGCATAGCCATAGCACATGGCAGGTGCTCATAAAATGTTGACTCTAAATATGGTTTACTCCTACATCCACCCTGTTCCTTAAAAAATTGCAGAGAAGAACTTGGCCACGTCTCCCTGCTTTTCTAAGCTGGCATATTTGTGAGGCTCACTAAACACCTCTTGTGCTTGTGCACCTGGGCACAGATCCCATTTTATCCTGGGGGTTGGATCTCCAAGTTGAATGAGGGAATGAGGGGCCTCCACTTCCATGAGAAAGGTATGTTCCTATTGGTTTTCAAACTCCAAATTAGTGGTTTTAAAACTTCAGTAAGCATCAGAGTCATCTAGAGGATTTGTTAAATGCAGATTGGTGGGTCCCACTGGCAGAGTTCTGGTTCAGTAGGTCTGAGGGTGGGCCTGAGCATTTGTGTTTCTAACAAATTCCCAGGTGTGGTCCTGGGACTGCACTTTCGAAATAACAACTTTAAATGAGCTCACATCTCTGGCTGGAGACAGATTAAATGCTAGGGCATTGAGAAAGCTAATAGCTAGGGTCTTGAAATTGTTGCCATGTATTCAGTCAGCTTTAGATTAATCGGAGGAATGATTTCTTTGTGTGTCTTTTCCCTGATTTTAGCATCTTGTTTGCCTTTTTTTTTTTTTTCCTGCTTGCATGGTGACAGGCTCCACACTGGAACAAGCACTACTGAAAGGAGAGGAGATGAGATTCACATGAACTTGTATTTTAAATCAGTTTGGATTTTCTTTTTAATATGTGCAGATGGCACATGGTGCCAATTTCACTAGCAGATAATATTCCAACTCAAGTTTACAAGTTATACCTTTGCCACAGCCTTGGTTAAATCTTGAACTAGTAGAGAATTCACCTGTGGTGAGTGCTGATCTTAGCATGCTCAGACGTGGCACACTTGCTCTTGATAGTCATGTGCTTTGTAAACCCTCAATTTACCATGACTATATTCTTAGCCAGGTGCTGTGTAGCAGTAAGAGGGGATTCTTCTATGTATTACAGGTAATTCTGTAGAGTTGGTGTCCATTCGCCATTATCCAGAATCTTCAATGCCAAGCAAAAAGCTCCTGCTGCAATTTGAGAAAGAAGAATGTGCACCATATTGTAGTCCAACATAGTTAGTTCCATCAGTTATTTGGCCAAAGTATGCTGCTCAGCATCGACCTCTCCTATCTTAGATGCTCTCCAAAGGAAGTGCAAAGGTAGAGGTCGAACCACACCAAAGTTTTAAATCTCTTAGAATCTTTATTTCCGTCTGGTTTGGTGCTTAGTGCAAGTGTTGTCGATCACCAAAGCAAAGTCACCAATTTCGGGAGGGTACATATTTTCATATTTGCTTGTGATAAATATGGCAGTGACACCAACCAGCTGTAGCATCTTCCTGGGCACAAAGTTATTCTGCATGAACTGATCAGTAATGGAAACAGTCATGTACGTGGTCTCCTGCAGTCAATCAGTTTGGATTTAATGTGTTGCTAGTGAAGATGAGTAAATTAAACAAGTTTACAGCATTACCTATTGTCTTAAGTTACCCATGTTCTTTTTTTTTTTAAACTGTGGTTGAGGACTCAGCCATGAACCCAGGGCTTTATATCGTTTACACAAAGCAACTTATTCTCTTCTCTTAAGTGAAGTGGTTGACGTCTGAATACTATCAGGAGTTTAATACAGGACAGTTACATTTGATGAATTTAATACAATAGAATTCCTGAAGGATATATATATAATTCAAACTCTCAAATTGATGACCAGTTTTCTCAGAGGATTAAATGTAAAGTGTATATATATATATATATACTCTTACCACATAAATCTATAATTACTATAAATTAAAGGCTATTGCTGAGGTCTTAAGCTTTTTTCAAAATCACTTTCTTTGAGGTATTATTTATACAATTAAATTGACCAATTTTAAGCATACAATTTGGTGAGTTTTAACACATATACACAGTTATGTAAGTATCACCACAAATACGATATAGAACATTTTGAGGCTTTGATGTTGCCACCATGTTGCCAGCTTATTCCTTTCCCTTTCCCCCCATTTTCTTGACTATTTTTACAAAGTTTTTTGAGCTTGAAATGTTTCTGTTTTAATGGCACTTTTTATTTTCTCAAAAATAACTGTATTCTGGAAGTTGGGGGGTGATTATAGATGGGGACCTACTGTTATTATGAGTGGTAAAATGCTACATTAAAAGAAGGTGGGAAATTAGCCCTATAGCTGTAGAGGAGGGGATCAGAAAACTATGGCTCCGAAGCCAAATCTGGGCTACTGCCTGCTTTTATAAATAAAGTTTTATTGGAACACAGCTATGCCCTTGACTGTGTTCAAAGCTACAGCCACAGAGTTGAATAGTTGTGACTGAGACCTTACAGCCTGCAAAGCCTGAAATATTTAGTATCTGGTCTTTCGAGAAAAAGTTTGTTGCCTCCTGATTAGTGTCCTAAGTTAACATCAAGGAATGTTCTTATTTTTACTCCAAAGCTTATAGTTTGACAGTTTATTTTCCATGCATTAGCTCTAACATCATTTGGTGAAGATTTGGAGGATGTTATTTTAAGGCATAAAAAAGTATTAAAATGATAATAACATGAAGTTAAAATACCAGCAACAGTGGTCACTAAAATTGCTCATAAAGTTCCAATGCACATACACAATGGAGTAGAAATATAGGCATTTTGTTTAGCACATAAAGTGGCCCTGTGATGTGGCAATAGTATAGCTGCTGTTTATAATTAACTCAATTTGCCAACTTTTGAATCTTTCAATTCTTAATTTTTAAAAGATATTTTGTGGGATTTGCTGAAATGGGCGTAAGGAGACATTATTTAATATTTTCATCTCATACTACATTTTAAATTTACAGCATTTAAATTAACATAGAATGTGACTACATTGTATATTGCACCAAGAATTCGAGATAACTTTGTAGAACTCTCTGTCCTGTATGTCCAAGTGGGCATTTGAAAATTAGAAAGCTTAGAAGGTGATTTTGTCATGAGCCAAAATGGAGACACATAAATCTCAGTAACCAAAATGCTTGTGGCATTGCTGTTGACACATCCATTTGATAGATTTTTGATTTCCTGTCATTTTTGAATAAAACAAATAGCAATGACATCTGTTTGTTCTTGCCGCTGGCAGTTGGGGGACTAGGCTTGGTGAGATTTGATAACATAGAAGAGTTCTATTAAATCAGCATGATTAAGACCTCAATTTTAGCTATATCTTAACTCCTCTCTGAACCAGCTTCTCTGGGTAGGTGGACTTAATAAAATGAGGTGCTTGCTTTGTTGGACAATTATTAGGAGGTAGAAATGCAATTTCTCCAAGAATTATCCATAGTGATAGAATTAAAGTGACTCTCAAGAGTTGCTTCAGAAAAGAGGGCAAACAAGTATTGATTGGTGAGACATGTTTACGGGGTGATAAAGCCTGTTTGCCTTCTCTTGCAGGGGATCCGTATCCACGTCCACTTGTATTTGAGACTCACTTCCTGGCTGCAACACATCATAGACACAATTTCTGGAATACAGCTTTGGGGATACAGTATTGGCAGCTTAAAGAAGAGGAGACCTTCTTGCCAGGACATGAAATGTTGTACTGCCCTGGGAACCTGCTTCAAATAGTGGGACTCACAGAGATGAAAACTTCTTGCTGGATTTTTATGACACAATCTCTTTATGATTTTACAAATAAAGGAAAAACCCATATGAAATGATGTCTGCCCTTCCTCAGGATGTCCTGCTGATTGTGTGGTGATGGCGTCAGGGCAGCCAAAGTCAGGATGAAGGCCTGGAGAGGGTGCTTGTGCCCATGTGTTACCAGCATCATTGTTCATAGGATTCGCGAGAGGATTCTGGAACAAATAAAGGAGTTGAACCTGGTACCTGATTCGTAGGTGGGCTGGAACAAACAGGGATGGTACCAGACCTGTACGGAAGCCAAGCCATATTTATAGCAATGTTTACTATTCTCAGAAATCAGGAAATTTGATTTCCATCCATAACTGCCATTGGTATAGCTTTTATAACATAACATGTGAATTGTGATTTGGTCCTCGGAAGGAACATGGAATGGAGAGTGGGAAGGCAGATTCTGGCCTTGGTTCCTGCTAACTCGTTCTGTGATAATGGAGCAAATCGTTAACCTTTCTGGTTTTTTACTGGGAAAATGGGGATAATCGGGCACAGGCCTCTCTGCCTGTGGGTTGTGATGATTAAACAAGGTAGTTTAGTGCAAGGAGCACAGGTTTGGAAGTCAGACAGACAGACAGAGAGACCTCGGTTTGAATCCAAGTGCTGCCACCTACTCACTTGATCATGTACATAATTTAAAATCTTTCCGAAGCTGATTTTTTAAAATTTGTAAAATGAGATGACAGAATTATTATAACTTTGCGAGGTTACTGGACTGATTTGAGACCACGTATATAAAGTGCCTACTGTGCTGCCTGATGTACAGGAGAAGTCCAGTAATGAGAAGCCATTATTAGTATGTGAAACATTTTGAAAATGTACTTTTCAACTGTAATGTAAGGTGGTATGACTGTTTGAAAATTAGATGACAGCAGTTTGCATTTCTCATGATCGGAAGCCAGAATGTAAATGCACACTACCTAAGAAAGCTTGAAGAGAGGTAGTAATTTGGAATTCATTTTCTTAAGATAAAAATTGGGCTATTACTCGAAAGTCTTAGGGAAATTGTTCTTTTTTTAATATTTGAAAATTTTTCCGCTTAGTCCATTGATGAATTTCAAAGCAATTGTACTTTTTCATATAAGCCTGCCACTGTGAGTCTCTTCCTATTGTATTTGAGCTATTTGTGCTGTCTGAATTTTGTTCCAGGATAATTTCCCTTCATTTCCTTAGTGTTTCGGTTGTTTTGGAGGGAAAATACATGGTAGGAACCAGAACACACTTTGACCTTCTTTTCTAGTTTGTAAATGGCATCTGGTAGGCTTTTGGAGTAACAGCCTTTTTTTTCTAAAAATAAGAAGTGATACGAATTACTGTGAAAGAGAGAGGCAAGAAAATCGTATTGGGAGGTTGACACTGGAATAAACTTAACGCTTCATACTCAACAGCTTGCATCCTCTGAAGGCAGGAGTTCTCACTGGGCTGCCCATGAGGAGCTTGCTGCAATCCCAATGCCCAGGCTGCGCTCCAGACCAGAAATCCGTATCTCTGTGGGTAGAACCCAGGCGTCTGTATTTTTTAAAGCTCCCCAGGTAATTCCAATGGGCAGGTAAGGATGAGAACATTACAGTGAATTCTAGGTAATTTGTGGACATTATGTAATTTTTTTTCTTGATATCTCTGAAGTTGGGAAGAATCTTTGTAGCAGGAATTTTCATTAGAAATAAAGTGAGGCACAGAGAGACTTCTGCCTTGGTTCCTTGAAGCCAGGGTGGCCAGTGCAAATGCCTGTGGGGATCCGGCTGCTGGTCTGGTGAGGCAGGCAAGGGCCTCCCCTGGGAGCACACGCCTGGCCGAAAGTGGCCGAAAGTGGCCGAAAGTGGCAGCTCCCACCCAGCTGTGTGGCCGTGTAGTTGATTTTTCTAGTTCTTCCAATTTCCAATTTTCCAGGAAAAGACAGAGTTAAAAAAAAAAAAAGATCCCTGATTTTTGTTTGTTTGTTTGTTTTTTTTACCTGTTGACAACCAATTCGGAATTGTTTAAAACACTGTGCTGGCCAAACAAAATATGTTTGCAAGATGGTCGTTTCCAGTCTGTGCTTCAAGAGTGGTAAGGACAAGCCTAAACATCCTGGCCAATTTTTAACAGATTCGCATTTTCATACTCTGGATGTAAGCTGCATTCTGCCTTTCCTCCAAGACTGCTTTTAGTTGTATTTTCCTCTCTATTCCTAAGTAATCCTTAGGGATTACTGTTTCTCGCTCAGTATTTTTCTCCCTGCAGGCATCTATTGCTTCAAGTCTCACATATATGGTTTAGCAATCTTATGGTCTTTTGAGAACTAATTAGGGCTTATTAGATTTTTTTTTATTATATGTCTTGTGATAAAACATTTAGAAGTCCATGTTTAACTTTATTATCTACTGTCTAGTGTAAGAATTGTCAAAACCAGGAGTACAGCCTTATTGGGCGCACTAGGAACGAGAGTGGGAAAGGGTTAATTCCCAGTCCTGATGACCCATCTCCTGACTTCAAGGTGATGGTTTACTGTGTGATCCCCGACTTCACCTATACCAGAAACCCTTGGAGAGGCAGCTTAAGTCCTTGGGCCCTTCGCCCAGAGATTCTGATTCATGCAGTTTCAGTTGGGACTCAGGATCTGTATTTTAAAACAAGTTCTCCAGGAGATTTGGTTTTAGAAACACTGATTTTGGAAACACTGATTTAAGGGAGATGTTTTTGATCTCTGTGTCTCTTGTTGTCTAATGTTTTTCAGTCAGTTGGGCCTACCGATCGATACAGTTCCTCACTCAGGACACAATATAAAGTTCTTAGGCAGAGAGAAGCTGACTTAAGCTATTCCTACATGACTGAGGTGCTTTTACTAGGAAAGGGCTTTTATAATTTCAGTCATATATGGATGAAAAAGGTGCTGTATTTTTTTATATAAATTACTTTGTATATTTTATAAGCAGCATATATGTACTAATATCCCATTTATCACACATTATAAAGTGCGTGGTATAGATAACTCAAGGTTATTCTTTTAAGTTGCACATTTTTTTTGCTTTATTTCACCCATTTACATGCAACTTCCTTAATTTAGTATATATTTCCTTGCTTTTGCAAACAAAATCTACATAAGATAATTACATTTTTTCAGAGTCATCATATATGTTTTTAATTCTTTCAGATCCTGCTTAGTTCTGTTAAAGCCTCTACACTGAATGGCCCCAAATGTGTTTGCTCTTTGAGTTCCACGGTGGTTTTTAGAGTTTTTCCTTTTCCCTCACCATTACCTATCGTTTCTCTCTGCTATTACTGTGCTTGCCTCCAGGAGCCTTCCTTTAATTTGCTGTGGGATTGGGAAGTCACGTAACTGCACACTCTGTGTCGAGTAAGAGTAAACGGGATTTGAATGAGGTTTTGCGAGGCTTTTCTAGCAATAAAAGTGAATGCACTTTGCCGCATTGACTTGGGGACGTTATTTTAGTGGCTCAGCCACCTTCCTGGAACTTACTTCCTGAGCCTCCACTGCAGTTGTCAGATCTGTGACCTCAAGACAGGTGAGATGTTGCCAGAAATCATTTCTCTTGATCTCAACCCTGTTGTCTCCCCCAGTTGTGTTAGCGTTTTTTTTCCTCATAATATGAACCTTATGAGGATTAAAACTCAACAATTTCTCAGGCCAAGTTTTTGTGCAAGATAAAGTGCTTTTGATTCAGTGTTATCATGATTTAGAGCTATAAATTAGTTGTTTACCCTCTGCAGTCATTCTGAAATAAAGTTGTTATGACTAATATTTATGCATGATTTCTAATTTCTTGGGGGGCATCACGAATCTCAACATAGCTTGTGTTTATTGTTTGTGCTAATGATCCTAACTCTTTTCAGCTGCCCCAGATGAGGGTGTTACACCGACCATATGTTAGCTCCCTTCTTCCTCCAAGGTGAGGCATTGAAGTTTCTCCCAGAAATAAGCAGAGGCAACATTTTTGGGTGGCCTGGATGGGCCATGTGCTAATGGAGCAAAGGACCAGGATCTGCAGAGTGAGAAGAAATGAAGCACAGCACAAACAGCAGAATGAAGCCAGGTAGTCCCAAAGGAGGAGGGAGAGACAGAAGAAATTCTTGTTGGCCTTTGAGGCTCAGCTATCATTTCGTACTTTGTTTCCATGAAACCCACTTTCCTTTTTTTTTTTTTTTTGAGACAAGGTTTCCCACTGTCACCCAGGCTAGAGTGCAGTGGCATGATCATAGCTCACTGCAAGCTTCAAACTCCCGGGCTCAAGTGATCCTCCTGGCTCAGCTGCCCAAGTGGCTGGGACTACAGACACGTGCCACCATGCCTGGCTAATTTTTAAATTTTTTGTAGAGACAGAATCTTGCTATGTTGCCCAGGCTGGTCTCAAACTTTTGGCCTCAAGCGATCCTCCTGCCTCAGCCTCCCAAAATGCTGGGATTACACCACGTGTGAGCCACTGCACCTGGGGCACGAGACTCACATTTATCCTTTCATCTGTGCTCTTTTTAATTGAATGTATTTGGGTGGGTTTCTGTGCCTTGTTACCAAAATGGTTTGTCTAAGTCCTACTAGTGCTCTTCCTTTGCTAGAACCAGACTGAGGGGATGACTTTTTCTTTAGGGGTAGAGTCCTTAGTTTGGCCAGCATTTATTGAGCACTTGTTGTGTGCAAAAGAAATGCAGGATTTGTCTTCTCTTTTGACTTCATTCAGTGGGTCACTAGAAGGCTTGTACCATCATTATACAAGGGGACTTTGAAAAGTTCATGGAAAAATGGAATTAAAAGATAAAAATAAACAATATTTATTTCTCAACATGAGCTCCATCAAGTTCAAGACACTTGTAATCAATGCTACCAGCCATTAAGTCCATCCCTAAAGAACCGAGGGTCTTGGGAGTTTAACCATGTCAATGCAGTCTTTTTTACATTATTAACTGAAGAAAAATGGGTGCCCTTTACAGTTTTTTTAAGATTAGAAAACCAAAAGAAGTCAGAAGGAGCCAAATCAGGACTGTAAGGTGGATGCCCGATGACTTCCCATTGAACAGG